GGAACAAAATGTACAATGCTAAGGAAGATGTCTTATTCTTCTGGCTAGTAAATGAGAGAAAGTCACCTTCTGGAGGCTAAAATCTACAACAAACTGGTGTGGTGTCATGAGGAAATGCCAAAGCCACATGTCCAACACCATCTTGTCTGGTTCTAGGTTCACAGCAAAGCTCCAGCCTCCCCTGGCTACACCTGCATCAGCAAATGAAGGATGGTGAGGGCTCAGGATGGTGTGCCAGTCCTCAACTGCCCATGGTGTTGAACAGTTCCTGCTACAGGTACGGTCTAAGCAAGACAGCCCTCTCCCAGGAAATGCCTGTGCACAGTTCATGGGATAGCATCAGATTGTTCTTCCCAGTGAGCAGTTTGGAGGTGGTCACCCTGCTAAGGAGCTGTTTTGGAGAAGAAGAGGGTTTTGCTGAATGGATGTAAGCTGTGCTGTGCTCTCAAAGACAGAGAACAAGCCAACCTTATTTAGTAACACAAGTCTAGCTTCTGAGACTGGGATGATACAAATGACACAGATGTTGTTGGGACATCTTGGATGACTTCAGTCATGTACTGTGAGAAGTCTTTAGCCACTGGATAACTGGGGTTTTTTTGGTTAAACTGATAGACAACTTCTGCATTACTCCATGTACACCACTTGTTACATCTTCACATTTGGCTTGATAAATTTTGCAGAAAATGTTGAAGTGCGTAGTCAAAGCAGCTCTGCCCTTCTCACTGCCTTACATGTCACACTTAGTTTCACACATCCAGCCCACATCTGTGCTTGGTAGTGAAACATAGGGCATGTCCCTAAGCACCGTTCCACAAACAGCTGTATGGATTGCTTTTTTATTACTCTGCTAAACTTGCTGAAGACAGAAAATGCTTATGGAACAGAATGGTTCTATTACTACTATTACATCCTCTTACCCTCCATAATTGGCTGCTTGTTTGTAAACAGGGAATGGCCACAGGCTTGTGTTAACAGCTCTTGTGTCTAAGGATTTTTTGAGATACTGTTAGTTGGTATGGATGGCTTCCACAGATTAAAATGAACTATGACAGGCAGACCAGCTGATTGATTAAAGAGCAAGGAAGGATTAAGGTGCGAGAAATGATTTTTGAATAAAGAGTGTAATTCCAGCAGAAAGAAATTTCAGAACCATTGTTTGGTTGGGGTCTTTTTCCTATTAATTGATACTTGGGTGTCTTGGGTACTTCAACTTGGCATAAAAGAGAGGGTTTCTTTCCCAGAACAATTTTAGGAGCCATTATCTCAGACCAGCACTCCCCTTATTTATGCAAGCACAGCTATAATAACCGAGGGCAAAGGTTCTATGGAAGTGATGGGCAGAAGCAGATGACAACGTGACAGGTATAGTTGTTGATCTCATATGGAGCAACTGATGAAGAAACACAGCAGTAAAACATTTTTTTAGGGGTTTTTGTGAATGCTTACCCCAAAATGTCCTCCAGCCTCTCCAGTGGGCAATTGTTAATGAGCATGGTGCAATTGTAATTGACATGAAACAATTTCTTTCTTCCTTTAGTGTTTATACCTTTGCCTCTTAATCACTGAAGGACTGTTCTACTCTACCTTTGTCCTGGAAAAGAAAAACAATTCCTTGCACTTTTTTTAAATGATCGTGGCTCCTACCAGTGTTTTTTCAGGGTTCCACCGAGTAGATGTATTTCTTTATGGTTAAATGCCAAAATTAGCACCGTACTAAAGATTTGGCACTATTGTTTACAGCTTCATAATTACTTTCTATGTACTATATAAGTTTCAATTAAGGTGCTCTACTAGAAAGATACAGTTCTTTTGGGTGGTATTTTTCATTAGCACCATTAGTCCCATGCATCAGTCTCACATGGTTCTTGGGATCCACTTTAATCTCTTGATCTCTTTCCAAACAGAGTCATTTAGGTTGCAAAAGACTTCTAAGTTCATAAAGTCCAACAATTAACCCAGCGCTGCCAAGTCTAGCACTAAGCCCTGTGTCCCTACACATCTTTTAAATACCTTCAGGAAGGGTGACTTCCCTGCTTCCCTGGGCTGCCTGCTCCCTTGCTTGACAACTCTTTTGTTGTTTTTCTTAAAACTTAAAGAAGTTTTACTTAATATCTGATCTAAACCTCCTCTCATGCAATTTTAATTGGTTGCTCAGCCAGATGCTCTTCACTGCTTATTTGGTTTTCTTTCCTTAACTATCACTCTCCTCCTTTCTACAATTCCACTTTATTTTGGACAGTGTGAATCTTGGATTTTTCTTCAAGATTCATGTTCAGATGCTATCTCATCCTGCAGCACACTGGACAGTTTTCCCATAGTGGTCTCTTATGAATAGTAATGGAAATGGGATCTTGTCAAGTGTGGCACAGACACCATGCTGTTCTTCCAACATCCACAGCTCTTTTGGGCTGTTTGCCATAGTTTTGGGATCAGCCATGGAAGTTTCATCAACAGGGTATTTTCCAGATTGGGAGCATTGTGCTTCATGGGAGGTAATGTCAAAAGCCTAATCCAAGTCCACCAGTGTCTACCAGTATTGAATCCTGGGCTGCACCAAAAGCAGCATGGCCAGCAGGCTGAGGGTGATTCTCCCCCTGTGCTCTGCTCTTGTCAGATTGTCAGACCCCACCTGGAGTGCTGTGCACAGTTCTGGTGTCTCCAGCATAAAAAGGTCATAGAATGGTTGGAGCAAGTCCAAAGGGTGGTCACATAGTTGGTAAGAAGACTGGGACACTGTTGGGTGTTAGGTTTTGTGTTTTTTTTTTTTTTTTTGTTCTTTCCTGTGGAAACATGTAGAAACCTGTAGAATTTCTTCCCATTGAGTTGCTAATCAGAACTGATGGCTTGAGACAGGCAGTCTAGGGGAACTCTTAGGATCTGGGAGGTTTTTTTTGGGCGGGGGAAGAGGGTAGCTGATATACGGAGAGATTCAGGCTGAGAGAAGGGGCTGAGGCCAGTTCCTGGCTCTCCCTCTCTCGGCACGTAGGGGAGACAGGCATTGTGGAGAGGATTGGCCAGCACTGTGAGACTCTGCCCTGCTGCATTCTCCGACCCGCACCGTGACTCAGCGGGGAACCTTTCTTCTGCTTCTGGGCTCCCACATTCCCCTGCCCTGCCAGGACACCCCGCAGGTTCCAGCTATTTGGCGTGGAGTTTTGGGACATCCTCGTTCCCTGCCCCAGCATTTCTGCTCATTCCTGCTGTTTCTAGCCTGCTGCTTCCGACAGTCCTGTCAGGGGCACCGAGATCGGCCGCCCCCGGGGTTTGAGAAGCGAAGCCTCCCCTGCATCCCTTCCCGTCTGGGCCGAGCCGCCATCGCCACGTGCTCCCTCAGCCCGCGCCCAGCGCCCCCTGCAGGCCCGGGGAGTCACCGCACCTGCAGCGCCCCTGCCGGCCGTGACCGGAACTGCACCGAAGGTTCCGGGCTCTGTTTGGTGTTAGTTCCGTCCTTGCTGCTGTTTGTTTGCTTTATTATACATACCAGTAAAGAACTGTGATTCCTATTCCCATGTCTTTGCCTAAGAGCCCCTTAATGTCAAGATTCTAATAATTTGGAGGGAGGGGGTTTATAGTCTCCATTCCAAGGGAGGCTTTTCTGCCTTCACTAGCAGACATCTGTCTTGGAAACCAAGACAAACACCTCTCCTGTGAAGACATATAGAGAGACGTGGTACCGCAATTAGCTGGATAGAAACTTTCTAGCACAATTCTGAATGCTAGATAGCAGGCATTCTTTATTACAGCGTGCTGGAGGATATTTCCTCTAATCGATGCCCTGAGTGTCAAGTGTACAGTTTTTATCATAAATGCTGATTACATGTTCATTAGCTATCCCCACTTCCTTAACTTTATTTTACACAGTCACAATTCTTATCAAAGTCCTTCTATTGGTTCTTTGAGGGTCCATCATCAAAGTCCAGTGTCCTTTTCAGGGGGCTATTCTTTGACCCCTGCTTTTGCTTAAGTACAGCAAGATTGTTTTGCTTAACTTCTACTGTTTCAGCCTTGCAGAGCTGAGTTGGCATCCTGCTTGCATTTTGCATGAATTCTGTTTGCCTAAGTTACATCCTTCATTTATTTCTCCAAGGCTGTGCTGTTCTGTTCTACTGTCCTTGGTAAGAAGTGTTCCTTATCAAGTGAGTGAAATGCTGTTCTAGTTCCCTTATTAGGGGCTGTTCAGCCTGGAGAAAAGTTTGTGTGGAGACCTCAGAGCAGCCTTCCAGTATCTTAGAGGGGCCTACAGGGAAGCTGGTAAGGGACTTTTTGTCAGGAACTGTAGTGACAGGACAAGAAGTAATGCATAAAAATCGAAAAGGGAGGAATTCAAGTTTTATATTATTAAAATATAAATATTATATTTTTATAATAGAAATTATTAAATATTAGAAATTTTTTACTCTGAGGGTGGTGAAACCCTGGAACGGGTTTCCTGGGGAGACTGTGGATACCCCAACCCTGGCAGTCTTCAACGACATACTGGATAATGCTTTGAGCAACCTGGTCGAGTGGGAGGTGTCCCTGCCCACAGCAAGAGAGTTTAGGACTGGATGACCTTTAAGGTCCATTCCCAACCCTTAACATTCTGTGATACCCACCGCATCCATTTCATGCTGACATCTCTTGCTCAACCATGTTCCGCAGAATCCATCAGCTCTTAGAGCATGATGTGTGTTAGAGCCGAATGGATGATTTAGTCCAACGCAGCCCCAGTTCTCACTCCCAGGGAGCATCAGGGGAAAAAGAAAAGCCGAGTAGCTTTTCAGCCCACGCCAAACGAGCGGCATGAGCTGTTTGCGGGGGGCTGGCCTGTGAAGCCCCTTCCTGCCCCACGGAGGCGATCTGCGCGGCCGTGCCCAGCCACGCGGTTCTCCCGCGCCCGGAGACCCAGGGCTCCACACGCCGGCCTCCGCCTCCCCCTCCTCCCGCCGTAGGCTACCCCCGGCCCACCCCCTACACACGTAGGGCTCTTCCCACGTGGAACAGCGCCTCCCATTCATTGGGAGGTGCGCTGGGGCGGGCGCGCCCGCGCAGGAGGTCTAAAGCGGCAGCGGGGAGCGGGGAGTCGTGGCTGCGCTGCCTCGCCGCTTGCCCGAGCCCCCGGCTGGGTGAGTGTGGGACGGAGCGGGCGGGGGCCCCACGCGGCTCGTCCATTTTGCGGTGCGGTGTGGCGGGCGCGGCGCTCCCGGGCCGCTCCCGGCCCGCCGCCGGCCCCGCGGCGCGTCCCTGCCGGAGCGACCCCCTCCCCTCGCCTCGCCTGACCCTCACCCCCTTCCTTTTTTTTGCCTGTCTTCCCTGCGGTGCCAGCAGCGCAGGAAACGTGCTGAGCTGGAGGTGAAGGCCCAGGTGCCGTGGGGAGACCCTGGGCCGTGCCTCTGAGGGCCTTTCCAGGGTGGCTCCCGCGGGGCTGCCATGCTGGGCTCTGCTTCCTTCGTCAAATTGCAAAAGAGACTTAGAATTTGCCGAGAATGCGAGTATCGCCCATAGGGCTCATAGCCAGGCCCGTATCCTAGGTTCTGCTCCCGAACCTGCTCCTGTGAGCAGGGCAGGGAGTTCTCTCCATTTGGGCTGTCAGCGCTTTGCAGGCAGCTGCTCTGGCTCACATATGGGTCTTTTCGTTTTCTGCATGTGTATGAATGTGGGTGGCAGATGGGGTGGAGCAAGGGGAACCCGCTAAAAATCCTTAAGAGGAAATTTGTATGCAGCTAAGGCTGGAGAGAAAGATTGGGACTACATAGGAAATTGCTAGTTAGTTCCGTTGTCATCTGCTGGAAACCTTCGTTTTGGAGCAAGGTGATGTTTTTGTAGGTGCTGTATAGATTAGTGACAGAAATGCAGTTGCAGCTCTACAGAGGCTGCTGATCTGGGCCGAAGAGCTGATGGTGATGGTGCTGAAGGTTCACGAGTTAGCTGACTCGCTTGCCTGTGGTCATTTGCAAACGTTACTTTGTGCTTGAGTTGCGACTGCCTGGTGAAGTCCAACATCAGCTGAACTAGTGGATACCCTACCCTGCCTCCCTTTGCCCACCTCTGTGGACTCTGCTAAGCCACAGGGACAAGTGTTGGTGATGTGGTCACACATGGCGGTGCAGGTGTCATGTGGGGCCCTCTGCAGTGGCACAGCAATGCCTCTTGAAGCTGTTCGTTCACTTGCTGATGCTTGACTGTCTGCCATCTCCAAGTAAGAGGCAAATACAATGAAAACTTGGAAAGAACAGGCACAAGTTTATCGTTCTGGTCAGGTGCTCTATGGACTTCTGTCACCTTCAGTGGCCGTCTGGACGCATTTTTTGGACAAGCTTTCCACATAATGCAAAAGACTGTGTAATGGCACAGGGTCGTTAGCTGCAAGTGCTGACCTTGGCACAAAGCAGGAGCAAGCTTGTGCTTTGCCACAAGCTTTGAAAGTTACTTTGCATTCAAGTACTTCAAGTATCTTGCATTTTGAGTGATCTGACAGGGTCAGACCTTGACTGTGCTCCATCATGTGCACGCTTTAGATGGTCATGTTGGCTTTGGAATGGAGCCTTTTCTTGGGCAGGGGAGCCAATTGGTGTTTAGTCCCCAATTTATGCCACTTTGGTGGTATTTGTAAAATTTGAGTCTTGCTGCTTGTAGGACTGTGCTTAACAGTGAGGGGGTGTGTTCAGAAGGCACTTCTTGTTTCCAGTCGGCTGTGACAGAACCCCGAGGCCTGCTAGGCTTCTAATTGAGGCAGTTCAGTCGTGTGTGTGGTTGAGATGCAATATGCTCTTGACTCCTTACAATATTTTTTATAAACAGAAGGCATTATTTTAGAGAAGAAAAAGCTAGTAACTCTTTAACCAGTTACTGGAGAAACCAGTTCTAAGGTTATTGTTGAAAGATTTGTCACTCCCTCTTCTTTTTTTTCCTTCTCTTTTCCCTTCTTTTTTTTTTTTCTTCCTCCTTTCTTCCTGTGTAATCTGTTGCCATGTGGCAGGAAGTGTTCATTCTCATGGTGGTGTGCCTGTGTTCTGTGTCTCTGCTTTCAGTTGTGTGACATGGCAAATGGTTGGATTTGGTCATCTTGGAGTCCTTCTCCAACCTTAACAACAGCCTGATTCTGAGATGACAGGAGCGAGTTCCAATCTAGCCGGTGTTGAGCACAGTTGCTGGCCTGGCGTGTGCAAGAGGGAGGGGGGAAAAAGGAGTAGTGGGAAAAGAAGAAAAAGCAGATGGGAAAGAAGAGAGGGGGAAATATGGCTAGAGTGCAGGAGGGCAGGGGTCTTACTGCAATTACTGCTTCTGCTACCTTTAGTTCACTCTTGATCTAGCAAGTTCCTCAACCTTGAGGACAGGTTAACTAGACTTCGGTAGCCTTTCAGAAATGTCACTTCCAGTTCCATCCCAGCTTTAAGTGAATAGAAAACAAAGTGGTACGTTTAATTTTCTTCTCTTGACCTATATCTGTGATGCTAAAAGCATCGGTGTAGAGGGGGGCAGGAGGAAAAGAAAGTGAGTTACTTTGTGTGCAGATGTGCTGAGGAGATGCTGGCTTGATCCTGATGGGATTTATTGGCTCTGCCTTCCAGTGGTGACAAAGGCAGATGGCGATGCGACGCAGCCCCTTTGCTGCTCCTGAAGGATGAGCTAGGAAATCCTGCTGACTTAACTCTGTATGAGGAGAGGCTGGTGCTTCTGACCATCAGCACCATGGCTGTGTGGTGTGGGGAGCTGCTTCACTGCTTCGGGCAGATTTGCTTGGGGTCAGCTGCAGTCAGTGCTGACCCAGAGTCAGTGATGCTAGCCGTAGTTTCATTTGGGAGTGCTGATGTAGGAGGCTTATTTGGATATGTATGCAGCAGGAGTAAATGCACTGTACAAGAAATTGTACTGTAATTTGATAAATGAATTGTTTCCTTAAGTTTAAGAATAGCTTGCTTTTGTCAGGTGACAAATTCTTAAAATAAACTAGTTGGAAAATGCATCATTGAGTTTGTGGAACAAGATTGTTTTGTTGAAGTGACTCTTTTATAAAGCAGTTTCAGCTAACAAAGTAAATAATGTGTTGTATCTTTACAAAATATTCCAGAGGGAATTAGTTATCTGAGGTAACCAGAATGTAGTCTTCTGTCATTAGGTTGCTGATTGAACTTTACTGGGGGTTGCACACTGCCTGATAGCTGGTTGATGCCCTATGTGATATAATCCCCTGGCAATGGGTGCTGCTGCATGCCACTTTATTTGTTTTTCTCACTCTAAAAGTACACAAAACAGGATGACCTGTAACATACATGATGTGAAGAGTCTTACTATTTGTCTCACATTGCAGGGGCAGGCTGTTTTGTGTGCTTGTAGCTTCCAAAAGCCCTTGGGGAGGCCATTGAGAGGAATACAGCACTGGGCTGATCTGGGTTGAAGTGCAGAAGTGCTGCACCGTTGTCTGTCTGTCCGTGCTGACCCCAGGTGCATTAGGCATGACTGTTCTGACTGTGCAGTTGGCTGGGAGAAAGGAGCAAAATGTTCTGGCACCAGAAGCAAAATGAAGGCACAGCAGCCAGAAGTCATGAGCTGGATGTTGGATTAGGGTGGAGGTGCTACATCTTGGGGGAGAAAAACAGTAGGTGTTTGTTGGGGTTTTGGAAGTGAGAACTTCTGTGAGATGGGAGCAGAAATTTGGCTTCTAGCAGCTTTATAATTCAGGAGAGGTACCAACACAAGCAATACAGTGAAAAGTGTAACAGCTGAGTAACTGGAAAAGAGCTGAAGCAAAATGCTTATGCTTTGCTCTGGAAGTGCTAGGATCAGTGCTTGGACAGTCCTGAAATCCCAAGGTTTTCTCCAGAAAACACTATTATTTTTGAGGAAAGCAAGAACAAGCAGGAGTTGTTGCTCTTGTGAGAAAAGTGCATGTCTGAGTTGTTAAAACCCCTATGACTTCAAAGACTTTCACCATCCTTTTATGAAGCGTCCACAGAAAGACCAGTCGGAATTCATCAAGGTGTTTCTGCTTCAGCTGGGTCTAGGTGCAGTCCTGTCTTCTGTCTCGTGCATCTGTCTGGTGGAGCTTTTGTAGATGTTTGCTGGAGTAGTGCAGTCACTACTGCACTAGTAATAGTTACTGGGGAAAGCAGGTACCTCTGGAGGGCCATAGCTCCTGTCTTTCCTACAACGGGAAAAAGTTCATGCCTTGAGGTGCCTGTCTTAGCCTGTTGGTTATAGAGGGGGGTCCTGTGTCTGCTTTGGAGTGGGCTGAAGCTAGTCAAGAAGAGTTCTACCCCTCATAACCTGGTTGGCATGTGAAGAAACCTGGATGATCCTCCAAAAAAACTTATACAAGTGATGAAGCCTCACTGTTGTGCTTTGGCTGCTCCAGATAAGCCGTCACAGATGTTGCAGCGTTTTTGAACCTGTTTTTTCCTTCTAAGGAAATACCTGGAGAGCAGAGTAGCATGGTGTTGGGCACCATCAAAAACACAACAGCAGTGCTTTACTTTTCATGCTCCTGTTCAGACCCTTGGGGGAAAATGGTAATTATCATTTGTTTCACTTACTTTGCTTTAAAACCACCTATTTTCTTTTGGAAGTCCCAGCACAGGGGAGCTAAGCAGAATATTTACAGCCAGTTGTTTGTTTCCTTCTTGCTGTCACTTAAAGCACCTTGCAGCAGCAGAACTTCTTATACTTCAAAGTTTCTTGTTCTAGGTAAGTGACATGGGGAGAGATGGCACTGTACATATTCTGAGAGGTGTTGCATTATATATTTCACCACACTTCTCCAAGACTGTCATATCTAGGTCTCTGTCTATTCCCTCAGTCCCATAAACATAATTAGGAATGATTTCCTTTGATGCCAGAATGATGATGTGGAAAAATATAACATTGTTTTAACAAGTTGAGCAGACTGGATTATATTAGTAATTTTTCTCCCAGTAAAAAGTGTATACTTACTCCAAACACTGCATTTTGCTGATAGGGACACAATTATTTTTAAGGATAGCAGTGTAACTTCCCTTGACAGGACTGTGTGCTGGGTGGCTTCACTTACCTCTGTTACTGGGTTGCAGGAGCATTTTTTGGGGCAGACCAGGCTTCTGCATGAAAGGCAGGGAGATGCAGGTGGCAATTCTAATACATTCAGAAAACT